GCATGACGAACATAGCTGACTAGTCATAGCATTTAAATCATGGTATGTATGTCATAAGTGTGATGATTTATATGCCATGATATTGCTGCTCTTGAGGTGGTTTCATTCGCATAATATGTCGCAAAACTGGTATTATATGACATGACTGCATGGCGAACACAAGCGAGAGACCCTAACATCCCCATTATTACATGCGTGTCATGTAACAACGTGACTACATGCCACACTCTTGATGTGCTTGTGGCTGGGGGTGCGGCCTCACCGGTGACCACCGCTGGTAACGCACTCCTTCACCATAAAAGGATTGGCCACCCTAATGCAGTGTCTGGCCACTACCTCCCACATGCATACGTATATTAACTCACGGCCCTCAGTACCAGCAGCTGCGAAGCAATTGACCATGGCGACGGTCAGAGCTGCAACGCAACAGAGAGTGCTAAGAATCTCTGGATCCAGACAGGCCATCATTGAAACGTGAACTTAGCACCGTTTAACACTAAAACCTTATCTAGGGAGAAAAGTATAGTTGTACTATTCGAGGAGCTATATGGCATTAAATGGGATGTAATAGGGCTCAGTGAGGTTAGGCGGACAGATGAGGTCTATACAGGGCACGTCCTTTGCTATCGGGGCTTGGCTGACAGAAGAGAACTGGGAGTGGGGTTCCTTAGTCAAAGAAACATAGCTGGCAACATAGAGGAATACTATAGCATTAATGAAAGGTTGGTAGGTATCGTAATTAAACTCCATAAGATACCAGATGAAGGTAATACAGGCGTATGCGTCTACGTTCAGCCATGATGACGCATCAATTGAAAGCTTCTTTGAAGACGTGAAATCGGCAATGATTAAGGTTAAAACACAGTACACTATACTGATGGGAGACTTCAATGTCAAGGTAGGGAAGAAGCAGGCTGGAGACCAGGTAGTAGGAGAATATGGCATCGGTACTAGAAACGCCAGAGGAGAGCTACTGGTAGAATTCACAGAACGGAATAATTTACGAGTTTTTAATGTCTTCTACCGAAAGCGAGTGAACCGTAAGTGGACATGGAGGAGCCCTAATGGTGAAAATAAGAACGGAATAGACTTCATACTGAGTGCACATCCAGGAATCGTGCAGGATATGGAATTGGTTGGCAAGGTACGATGCAGTGACCATAGAATGGTACGGTCTCGAATTTGCCTAGACTTGAGAAAGGAACGACATAAACTAATACGCAAGAAGCCAATCAATGAGCTAGCACTGAGAGGGAAAGTACAGGAATTCAGAGTCTCGCTTCAGAATAGGTACTCGGCTCTTAGTGAGGAAACCAACCTTAGCATAGATACAATGAATTATAATCTGACGAGTATCATTACGGAGTGTGCAGTGGAAGTTGGAGGTGCTGTAGCTAGAGAGGACACTGGCAAGCTGTCCCAGGAAACGAAGAATCTCATTAAGAAGCGTCAAAGCATGGAAGCCTCAAGTACAACAGACAAAATAGAGTTGGCAGAGCTTTCGAAGTTGATTAATAAGCGTAAGGTATCCGATGCAAGAAGGTATAACAGGGAGAGAATTGAACATGCTCTGAAGAACGGAGGAATCGTCAAAGCAGTGAAGAGAAAACTTGGGATAGGCAAAAACGAGATGTATGCGCTATGGAACGAAGAAGGCAAAGTAACCACAAATATGGATAGGATAGTAAAAGTAATGGAGGAGTTTTACAGAGATCAGCACAGTAGTCAGCACAACCACGACCTTAATATAAGAACTAGCAGTAACCCAGATGAAACCCCACCAGTAATGATAGAAGTCAGAAAAGCCTTGGAGAACATGAAAATAGGCAAAGCTGTTGTTGAGGATTAAGTAACATCATATCTGCTGAAAGATGCAAGACAGATAGCTTTAAAAAAACTAGAGACCCTGTTTACGAGGTGTCTCCTGATGGGAAGAGCACCAAAGTCTTGGAAGAATGCTAACGTCATCCTAATACATAAGAAAGGAGATGACAATGACTTGAAATTACAGGCCGATCAGGTTGCTCCCCGTAGTATACAAGCTATTTAGAAAAGTAATTGCTAACAGAGTTAAGAAAAAATTAGAATTCAATCAACCAAAGGAACAAGCAGTATTTCGAACAGGCTACTCAACAATCGACCACATTCATACTATCGATCAGGTAATAGAGAAATGCTCAGAATATAGCCACCCACTATACATAGCCTTCATAGAATACGAGAAGACGTTTGATTCTGTAGAAATATCAGCAGTCGTGCAGGCACTGCGGAATCAGGGAGTCAACGAAGCATATATAAACATCCTGGAAGAAATCTACAGGGGATCTACTGCTACCATAGTGCTTCATAAAGTAAGCAACAGAACACCAATCAAGACGGGTGTAAGGCAGGGGAATGCAATCTCCCCAATGCCACTTACCGCGCGCTTACAGGAGGTTTTCAGAGGCCTAGAATGAGAACAGTTAGGAATAAGAGTTAATGGAGAGAGTACCTTAGTAACCTGCGCTTCACCGATGACACTGCATTGCTGAGTTACTCAGGGGACGAATTGCAACTCATGATTTCGGAGTTATACAAGGAAAGCAGAAAGGTGGGTCTTAAAATTAATCTGCAGAAAACAAAAGTAATACACAATAACCTCGGAAGAGAACAGCGCTTCGAGATAGATAATAGTGTACTTCAAGTTGTAAAAGACTATGTCTACTTAGAACATCTAATAACCACGGAGCCGAACCACGAGATTCAAGTAACAAGAATAATAAAAATGTGATGGAGCACAATTGGCAAGCACTCTCAAATTATGACAGCTAGATTGCCACTATACCTCGAAAGGAAGGTATATAACTGCTGTATCTGGCCGGTACTTAGCGACGGAGCAGAAACCTGGAGACTCACAAAGAAGGTTCAGCTTAAATTGAGGACGACACCGTAAGCAATGGAAAGGAAAAAATGGTAGGTGTAACCTTAAGAGACAAGAAGAGAGCAGAGTGGATTAGGGAACAAACGGGGGTTAAGGATGTCATTGTTCAAATCAAGAAGAGGAAATGGACATGGGCCGGGCATGTAGCGCGTAGACAGGATAACCGCTGGTCATTAAAGGTAACTAACTGGATTCCCAGAGAAGGCAAGCGGGTTCGGGGGAGACAGAAGGTTAGGTGGGCAGATGAGATCAAGAAGTTTACGGGTATGAATTGTCAGCAGCAAGCGCAGGACCGAGTTAACTGGCGGAACATGGGAGAGGTCTTTGTCCTGCAGTGGACGTAGTCAGGCTGATGATGATGATGATGATGATGATGATGATGATGACGACGAATTGCAGAGAGCATGCGTGCATGAGAAAAAAATGTGTGAGGGAGAAAAAAGCCATAAGACATTGGTGTTACAAGTAACTTTTCTTTCAGGCTTCCTTTTTATTCTTCAAAGCGTATTCGCACCTCTACAATGTTTGATGTGTTTTTGTCGGATGTCTCAGTTGGTGAGGTTCAACCGATCGTGGGAGAAAAGTTAGGAATCATGTTCTTGGAAAAACTCTTCTTGTAATCGTCTTCTTGTAATTATGTTCTTGTAGAAATAATCAGAAGCTGCAAAAATAACAGGTACATCATATGTGATTTGCCTTTTTTATGTTTACAGTGTTTACGCAGATAAGACGACGATCACATATCTAGTACGTATAAAACTGTTGAATAACACGAATAGAGTACTGGCATTTTTCGCCAATACGTTTTAGTGGGCTGGCTTTTAGACAGACATATTTTATTGCATATTAGAGAACTACCGAAAGGAAAGGCCAACAAAAACAGAAAAAAATACTCCGGGGGTGCATCTTTCATCAATATTCAGACCTTGTAGTCTATTAACTACTATTCAACATTACATAATTATAAGTGTAAAATGGAGTGCCGACTCTGTGGGCTCACTGCAATAGGGAACCATGTGCTATGGGATGGGAAGCCGTCGGCTCCGTCTTAAGCGAGGACAGGTGGGCAATGCACTTGCGCAGCTTCGAACTCAATGACGAAACCCTAGCTGTCCAGAATGGCCGTGATCGGGTTACCAAGTTAGCCGTAGCGGTCCCTACGGGGGACTGGCTGGGTGTTGCGGGGTTTTTCCTGCCCCTTTTTTTGGAGCCAAATAAAGTTAATTCATCATCGTCATAATTATTATCATCATACCAGTGAAAAAACTTCGAAGCAGCCAAAATGGACACGCCATCAAAGTGCACGCACACCTGTACGTCATAAGGTAATTGAAGGGTTATTAGAAAAATCTTGTCAAATAACGCCGTAGGGAGAATCACTTGGATAGAAACATTTGTCTTCTGTTCGCGCATTCAAGAAGCTGCTTTTGAAAAAGTTTGGTTTTTCCCCGTCTTCTTGATAATTATTTGGCAACTCTTTTGTCGCCGACTTCTCTTCCAGTTCTTTTTGTCCAACCGTTAGTACACTTTATTGCCTACATAATAATTTTGCACACATCAAGTGGGCAAGGTTGCCTTTTTCTGCCATATACGTAGTGACCCAACTTGTCTGTACGTCGTTTCAGTGGAGTTCCAGCAGCAGAATCATACAGGACGTGTGTATTTTCATCGTTGTCCTCTTGTGAGGCTTCGGCAGTTTTGCAGTCCATTGCTTATTATGAAAAGAGAGTTTTAATGTGACATTATTGAATGAGAAAAAGTGAAGCAAATGTGATTTGCAAACTCCTTCTTAAAGAACAGCATCTGAAATCTAATTTTCGCACTGCCTGTGTGAATATGTCCCGCACAATGTTTCAGTTTGGCGCCACTTGGGCCATCCTGAAGTGCAGTGTTGTGCCCCACCGCAGGAGGCCGCCACACGCACAGGCATCGCGCGACCTCTGTAATTTGTGCCGCGAAGCCCCGGCGGAGCAGCCACTGCAGAGCTAATGGGGAATAGAAAGGGTCCTTTCTCTCCGTTTCCGAACCCCCCTCCCCCTCAACCGAAATTCCCTCTTCTCGTGGGGGAACCGTGCGCAATGGCGCCCGCCGCGGCAACGCTGTAAGATCGGCGCCGGTGCATCTTCAAACTCCGGGTGTGCAGCGTCGGAAGCCGATGCCCTGCGGCGGGCTGTACGGGAACCGGCCGACGGTCATCCGACGCGGCCCCACTTGTCACAGCAGCTGCCGTGGTTGAAGTGGGCTTCGCACGCCGTGTGGCCGCCGCCGCAGTGCAACTTCCGAGATGCAACCACCGCCGCGAAAGGTGGATAGCCTCGAGCCATCGCTCCCGTCGTGTAGTGCTTCCATGTGGCTGTCGCAGTTCCGCTCCCTATGTGCCTCCCTGTCGGTATTTCCCACGCTGTTACACTCGTCTGCACCCCTTCGAGCGGGGCGTAATCCTCAAACGGGGAAGGGGAGGTGCAGTTTCGATCGCCCCAAGGCGCGGTTCGCCGCCCTTACTTTTCTGCCATGCTTGAAATAAACTCTGCGCTGCGTGGGGACTTAAGTAGCATGGACTTGTATTGTTACACGCGAATTCGCTCAGACCTTTTTTCCCCCTGCTGTGATAGCTACAAGCCGTGCATACGCCTATTTGCGTTCTGGGTTGTCTAGTCGCATATCGAACGAACAAAATGATCGAACCTCCTTTATTTTTTTTGCACTCGTTCGCGTTTTCGTTGAAATGCAGAAATCGTAGCGTATTAATGAATGAGCCGCCATGGGAAATCACATTACATTTGTCAACCGAAAAGCGGTGAAGTTGACGCGTGATGCTATTGGGAGGTTGAAAAATTGCATTTTCAATTTCAGGTGAAGGCCCACACACAGCTGAAAAACATCCATAATGAGCAGATTACAAAACTACAAACAAAACACCAACAAGACGTCGAGCTGCTCGAGGATCTCAGGTAAGAAAAATAGCCGTGTTTCGGCCATTCTAAGTACGCCTAATGGTTATTGCAGCATTCACGTATCCTAGTTAGGTCTTATAGCATTCTCGTTTTTTGAATTAAATTTTAGAAAACAGAAAGAAGCCACACAGAGGCAGTGGTGACATACCCTTTGTTGCGTACGCTTAGGCTACTTAACGGCTCTGCGTGTGCCTATAGTTTTTTCCACCAAATATTATCACGTAATTATAGGGAAGCAGTCAGGATCATATTGTGGTCAGTACAATTAAGTGCACTGCACTTATGTCGCGTGTAATTCAGTAATAGCTTCGTCCCTCCTATGCAATGAAAATTTCAAGTGTACCTCCGCGTGAATACGCCCTTGCTCAAGTAAGACGGCAAGATACCGACCATATATATCTGCGTCCTCGTTGCAGAACAATGGTACACGTCACTCGCATCAAGCCGTACTACGGCCCACTTAATGTAATCGTGACTCTAGATAACTCGAGTATTATTCAAAAGCTACTGTAAAAATGATGGCTATGTGAGCAACAAATTGCCGATAACCACGATGATGAAGATGTAGGGCTTGTTTGTGTTGAGAATGCCTTGTTCTCGTCACGGACCGATTCTTCTACGTGTAATGAAGCTGCCTAACAGCTCCTATGCTTGTCTTTCGGCCATGAGCTAAATACAGGAACCAGTGTCAGGGGAAAAAAAAAGCGCGCACGACACCTGAAATTTCAAGTCACAGCTTTGAGGCCGTCATTCATTTTGTCTACATGCAATGCAGCGGGGTGTTGCCATGCCATCTGTGTTCAGTTTCGCTTATATGTTTCGCACAGAACTCCACCTTTTCGTCTTCTTTTTTTTTTTTTTTGCAGCACTGTGTGCTTGTCGAAAAGGCTTTGTTCGCCGAAAGACAGATGAAAGTCATTTGATGAATATACGTGTTTCCCTAGAAGGAAGCGAAAAATATTGATGAAAGGTTTCTGCAACCATCTGAAGTTCTGCCGCCATATCGAACACCTACATAAAACATTCAAACTTGTTTGAAGCAGTTTCTGTCATCATATCTCCAAAATAAACAGTGGAGCGAATAGGCGGGCCGTAAGCGTTTCCTCTTATATTTCGCCCTTCTAAATGCGACGCGTTTCTCAGCAAACTAAAGGAGCTCTGGCCAGATCTATCTATCTATCTATCTATCTATCTATCTATCTATCTATCTATCTATCTATCTATCTATCTATCTATCTATCTATCTATCTATTATCTATCTATCTATCTATCTATCTATCTATCTATCTATCTATCTATCTATCTATCTATCTATCTATCTATCTATCTATCTATCTATCTATCTATCTATCTATCTATCTATCAGCACGAGAACACCCAGTGAATAATGGCAACCTAATGTATAGAGGAAGCTCAAGAGGAACGTGTATAACAGATGCATCTTACCGGTACTTAAAAGGCCCCTGAAACACTTTTTCAAATAACCACGGAATGAGTTCACCAGAAGAGCTTATTGCCTCACGAATTCAATGCTGCGAAAATTTTAAGAGTTCGTCCAGTGAGAGTGCACTTACAAATATTTGTCACATGCTGCAATTGCATTCTCTCTTCTCTCGTCCCGACGAAAGCGCGGGAAGCTAAGCAGCGACGGGTGGCAAGCCACAGAAAAACGTCCCGCGTGCTTCGCGGCCTTAAGAGCTTTTTGTTTCTTTTTTTTTTCTTCGAATACGTGGCTTTGTCAGTGAGATCGCACGTGCTGGATGGATGGATGGATGGATATGGCTGTACCCTTTAGATCGGGCGGTGGCTAGCGCCACCAAGCCGTCAGGGACAAGTAGCGGCCTCCCGCGGTGATCTCTAAAACTAGCGACCGCGCCATGTTCAAATCAGCTAACGGCTGATAGATGGGTCGTTGACGCGTGATTTTTGGGCATATAACGTGATTTGTCAACAGAAAAGAAAGCAATTTTTAGCTTTGATCATTTATTGTGAATTCCAGGCCACGTGCTCTGTTATAATATTCAGCTCGCGTGTTGTCAGGAACCTGTCCTACCGATCAGCAGAGTTTTCTGACCATGCTGAAAAAGTGTTGCAGGACCCCTTTAAATACGGCGTAGAAACCTGGAAGCTTAGAAGAAACAGGGTTCAACCTCAATCGAGCAATACGCAGCGATTGATGCAAAGGAAGAATGATAGGTATAACCTTGAGAGACAAGAAGAGAGCAGAATGGGTCAGTGTGCAAAGGGGGGTTACGAATATCGTGGTTGAAATCAAGATGAAGAAAGAGACACGGGCAGGGCATGTCGCGCATAGGCAAGAAAACCACTGGTCACTGAGGGTAACTGGCTGGATTCCAAGAGAAGGCACACGCGTGAGGCGGAGATGAAAAATTAGGGGGGCCGATGAGATTAGGGATTTTGCAGGTATAAAGTGGTAGCAGCAATCACAGGACCAAATTGACTGGCGGAACGTGAAAGGAGCGTTGTGAAGTTGATGACGATGATAATCACGATGATTATATTGGTGATAAATCTTTCAGTGAAGTGTCGTTAATTACGTTAGCCCCAAGTGTTTCATGAAATTTTATTTCACTTCCGTACATTTTACCGTGAAAGAAAACAGTTCTGTAACAGGTGTGTGTTATATGCTAGCACGTGCACAAATATAAAACAGCCTGATCTTTGAATGAAAGCATTAAACTAATTTAAGAACACTTGGTAATAATGAAAAAAAAAATTGGACCGTCTCTCCAAAGGGAACCTTATGAGATGTGAAGCAGCAGCGTTGAGCATGGGTGGCGTCACAGATTGAATGGCGTTAACGCGGGGGCTGCTGTGAGTTCTGGAAGATTTGTTTGAAGCGATGGCTAGCGTAGGCAATGTGCGTGACACAAACAGGCATGTTTCAACGCGTTTGCTCGGAGGGTGTAGGTCGCGGCAGGTGGTGCGGGTGAACGGACAAGGCGGCAACTCTGGGCGCCGCGACGAGCACGTGGCAGGTGAGGGAGAGAGTGACGTCAGCGCGCACTGCGAGGGGAGCCTGGCATGCACGCGCAGCAGCGGCGTGACCTACTTGGCACTATGCCAACACCTGTGGCGTGCGGCGGGTTTGTATAGAGGGACAGCGTTACATGGGCTAGTCAGAAAGCAGCTCCTCTTCTAATAACATCTAGGATGTAAGGTTCCAAAACTATGATGAGGAACGTCGTGGTTAACGTATCGCGGACGGACAGAAGCAAGAACGAACGGACGAACGGAAGCACGGGCGGGCTGACGGGCGCTTCGCCCCACTCATCATCATTAAGTCCGTCAATATGCTGTCATTTTTTCCCTCTCCTCCATCGAAATGCAACCGCGGCGCCCGGGACCGAACCCGTGACTTTCAGGTCAGAAGCCGAGCAGCACCGCACTCGGCGAGTTGAGCGAGCTAAAGGCGGCGTGGCCTTGGCCATCAGCATTAACGCGTTGCGTCTTCAAACCAAAGCAGATCAAAGAGGCAACGAAAAAAGAAGCGCACGGTCGAACTCTTCTCCACAAGCTGCCGCTAAAATCGTAGTTGTTCAGAAGAAAGCCGTCTGCTCTTAATTACAATCAATTGACTCTCAATAATTGTCCTGGTTGGTTCTCAATGACAGCGAAGCTGTTTAGCAAATCGCTCTTTGCGCATTTTACAAATCCATCATGACTACAAACAGGTAGGTGCCACACACAAAAGAAAATGGGTAAAAGCATATTACACCAAAAAGAATGTATTAAATAGACTTGAGTGTGGCAGTCAAAATAACATGCACGATCATTTTTTGAGTGAAAACGTTTAATTTTGCGAGTTGAGCTTTTTGCTGGATGATATCGGGGAGGTGTTGATTATACACCTAAAATGAATTGGTGGCAGAATAATTTGCAGTGGCATTTCCACCAGCATTTTTTGTCCACCTGTGTGAGAGAGCAGCAGAATAAACTGCTTTCACCAAAATACTCTCGTTGTTAAATGATTCTACCCTTTCTGGTATGAAGCCTTCATCTTGCTAGTAACAGCAGAACCCTGAGCCTAGAAGTGTCCGTTACACAGGGGGAAAGGGGCTCGACCGATGTGCAGGATACTACTGCAATGGCCCCAGTGTAATGGAGCTTCATATTTGCATGATGACAATGAATTACATTGCGCACCGCCCTCGGCCAAGTTCAACATGACTACAGCAAAGTTCAAGTGAAGTTCAAGCTCACTGCAGCCAATCTCTAAGCATCTTCGCCGCGTATCGAGCTTCGCACGGCTTAGTGCCAACTTTGAGCAACTTTCTATTCTCCAATTTTATATTATTTTATAGAATTCTTAGCTTTCACTATTACCTCGTCTTTATGCGATTTTTCAAGAGGGGGTATTTGTTCGATTTCATTCAACGCTCGAATTCCAGTTGGCTGGTTCCGTTAAATGTCATTGAAGCGGAGCTCTGCATGACTGTTCACGGAGGTTTCCCAGAGTTGCTAGGAAATTTATTCGCATGGAAGTAGATGAATTGGCCACGATCAGAACCCAGCGAATACAGTAAGCTGTAGTTCGACGAAGCGTGTAGCAACCAGAAGCTCAATTCGGTGGCGATGCTGCTAAAGTGGAGGCCACTCTTTGCTCTCCACAAAGGGTTAAGTTGGACTTTGGCAATAGCATGAGCAGTATATAGGCTCAATAAATATAATAATGACATTTGTTGAAGTTTAACGTCCCGAAACCACGATATTATTATGAGAGACGATGTAGTGAAGGGATCCGGACTTTTTGACCGTTTGGTGAAAAAACAAAATCTTCCGGATTACTACCTGAAACTTGCGGGAGGGCTTTTTAAAATCTCTTTGCGGTCCAGAGGTGGCAAGTGCATTAAACTCAACAGAAGTTCGCCGGTAACGCCAGATTTCTTCGTTGCCGCGAGAATATCGTTCTTGAGGGCTTTCGTTTCGGAGGGGCACAACTGTAGAGGTTTCTTACGAAAAAATTGCCAGCATGGATGTGGCAGAACGTCTGCTAGCGCGTAGAAAGGGTGACTTTGAATATTAATCTAGCGTAATAGTTTTAATATGTTGTTAATTGAAGTTTATCTCAATGTTTCGCTCACGGATGGCGCTGAAGCGGACACCGGTAGAAATTTCTGTGAAAAGATTAATGGCGTTTATACTTACAAGGGCTGCAAACACCGAACAGGGGCTGCATATGTTGCAGCTTTCATTTTCAAGCATCTGTACAGAATGCTTGGATGGTTACTGAGCGTGAACCGGTTCATAATTGTGATAATTTTATATCTACGAAACATGGTAAACCATATGAGCTCCGTTTTAAAAGGACTGGTGCTTCATATCAGAAAAATCGCGTACACACGCCGCTGGCACAGAAGCTGAAGGCCTGATCGGGCTGTACAAGGTTGCGTATTGTGGCAGAGTTATGCTGTAGCTCAAAAATAGCGGACAGCTATGACAGCGCATAGCTCTCGCCGCGTCATCACGAGGGTATACGCATTTTTCCTCTCTGTAAAGGCCGGCAGGTCTTTGCCCCTGTGGTCGCTAGCGTGCCCTGTGGCTGGCAGGAAAGAGGGTAATCGATATCGCTGCACTGGCTCCTGCTTGCACACAGGAATAAACACGTGTGGGCTGCAGCAAAAAGGAGCGTGGAGGTGAACCCTTGCTCTCGCCATCTAACGGAATCGCTGATATGTCGATTGAGGCCGCGTATTGATATCCGCTAACAAGGAAGAATGCCTCACAGGGAAGTTCTCGATTGAGGTGTGATGTAGGCTACGATGACGTGCAACACGACAGTATTAATGACAACATATGTCGTTGCAAGAACGAAGATAATGGCACTGCATTTACTATGGTTAACAACTATTTTTCTGAAAGGAGCACTGAAAGTGTACAGAGCGCGCACCGTGGCCCCAAACATCCTCATTCTCATCCCCTCTCAGATGGCGATCGCAGTGAAGTTTTCTCTAGAATAAGGCATTGTTTCATCCTAGCATTCAAGTATGCTATCTCTACTAACGCGATGTGGTGATATAGACCATGACGCAGAAATTCCGGCGTTGGGGTTGGCGATGAATGAACAGAATAAACATCAGGTGTTTAAGCCAAAATTGAAACCAGGCATTCTGCATCGCACTCATGGCTTCTGCGACAAAGCGGTGCCAGTGCTTCAAATTACACTGAAAAAAAAATAAAAAGAACCTAGGCAGATGTCATGTGGTGTAACAAGTCGCGGTAACACATGTAATATTGCATGGCAGAAGCACACAATCACATCAAGTTCAAGCCACGTGATTTGCGCAACAAGCCGGTGTATTAAAAGACCACTCACTATAATGTGCTGAGGCATGTCATTATCATCATCAGCCGAATCACAAACATGTGCAGATGCGCGTATTACATGACGGACGCATAGTAGGTTTGTCGCTACTTCGCAATATACGGTGTAGTCGGCACTCCGCAACTATATCTGTAGTAGGCATTCTAAAAATGTTTGACAATGACCAGTTCTACACGTACGCGCCTCGTAATCCTTAAGGCAGACAACCGGTATACAATCAGGGCTACAGAATGGCTACCAAGGAACGGGAAACACAATCGAGGAAGCCAGTGATTTACACGGGGAGGCAAAATAAAGAAGTTCGCGGGCTAGTTTGCACACGTTAGTGTAAACTGGAGGTCATTTGGAGATGCCTATGTCCTGCAGAGGATATCAGTAAGCTGAAAAGACTGAAAAGAGCGTGAAGGTCGAACTATATGTGTACTTTTAGACGTAAAGACTGAAAAGCACGCACAGAATATCATAAGGTAAGTAAAAACACTTGGTGACATCGTCAGCCGAATAAGAAGACACATTAATGTGAATCGTGTAAAAAGTAGCCATGGTTGCATTGACAGCCGCCAACTAAACCAGTCAGGGGCGTAGCCAGGGGGTGGCACACCGGGCACATCCCCGAGGTGCCCCGTCCCGAAATCAAAGTGGTGCTCACCCCTCCCCGAAAAAAATTTCTGGCTACGCGCCTGAAACCAGTCCATCGCTCTTTTGGAATCGGACATATCCACAAGAGCTGGAGAAAGCGAAGGATGGCCAGTCGGTAGACGGCGCCTGAAGAAAAGGGGAGATAATGAAAAAAGTGCTGCGCAGATGGGGTACTGAGCCGTTCGCCTCTGCATGCTCATTTGTTGTCAAACCACGTGAGCTTTTGTTCTTTGCACCTTACGCTATAGTGAGTCACCAGCACCGCGGAAGCGCTCTCACGGTGAGCCAGTCTGAGAAACAAGTAATCTCTGTCGTGACGCTGCTCCCTACAGAATAATGTCCGGAGTAGTGTCACGACAAAAAATTCCCCCTCACAAGACCCTAACGGGAGGACATGCTGGTCCAGTCGTATGGATGATGATGGGTTGATAAGTTATGTGACACTCTGAGGCAAAGTGCCTTCGGCGCGCGTCTCCTTTTTGTCTGACGTGCTGTCACAGTAAGTGTGGACTGATGGCAGCATCTTGCGTACTAACTCCAGACAGCCGACCAGCTGTCCAGCCTGACTTCTTGTTGCGCGAAAGTATTTTTAAGCTGTACGTTAACGAAATGATGGAGGTCTTGTTTAGGTGACTTCTTGGAGGATGAGGACAGCAAAGTGCACGTGGGAACGTGGAGGCGGAGACACGTCTCTGAAGACGGGACAGTTGTTTGATGCATTTGTGGAGCATCAAGAAGGGGTTCGTCCCACGAGGTGGTCTCAGATGAGACGGGAGTTATTAGGAGGGGAGCTCGAAGGCGAGGTCGTGAAGTGTGGACAGAGGTCATGTTTGACGCCGTCTTCGATCCAGAGTTTTATACTACAGCGAGAAGTTGGCGTCGATGTTTGCAGTATACCAAGGGCTCGGCAAGTAACGCCGACGTTAATACAGCCCAATGCTTACAGTACGGTTGACTTAGTGGCCGCCCCGGCCTTTGATTGTAAATAAGTGTCAGTGTATAAATAAACTGAAGTTTGCCCGAAACTGCGCAAAGGCCTGTGCAGTTCTTCAACGTGTCGTTGTGGTCATCCCAGCCATCGAGATTACCTCCATCGTCCCAATTTTACCTGCTGGGGATATGCTTTTACCATTCGTGAGATTCGCTCACCGCACCGCTGTCCAATGAAGGCACGTTTGCTGTTCGCCTGCCTACCTCTTCAACGGCTGTTCGGCTACATTGTACTTGAACGCCTTTTTCAGCAATACCCCAACGAAAACCACTTCTACTACATCTTAAATGAAACCTCGTCTCTAAACTCGCAGAAGGTTGACAACGCGCTCGCTTCGATGCAGAATCCAGTCAACAAGACCGCATGAACCATTACGACAGCTTTCATCAAGCCATCACCTTTCGTACTTGAGATTACGCTTGATTGTAGTCCCCCATGTTGTCGTAAGTTTCTTTTCACTGTGTTAAAAAGGAAAAAAAAAAACATGCCATCCACAGTCAACTATAGTTTCACTTCCGTTAAGGTTCCCTCAGGTCGTCGTTACCGCGGTTTTAAGATAGTTCACTTATCGTGTCTCAGTACCTTCGTTCGCACACACTTTTTCGCTAAAGCCTTCGCCGAGTCGGCACTTGGCGTGCGTGTGGAATATTGTAGTGAGCAGCATATTCATGCGCTTCGTCTTCTCATCGGTGCACTGATGCTGGCAAACTGATTCATCTGTCGACTCAGATTGAGTCGGAGGTCTGAGTGAGTCCGGTTGAGCAATATTTTGGTCAATTTCAGGTGAAGTTAGGATCCCGTTGAAAAAAAAAAAGGCTCAGTGAGTCTGAATATGAGTAAGTTACAAAAAGAGTCCTTAAGTGGCCAGTTTGTATACACCAACAATCCCTTCTCGCGACTCTAATGATGTTCATTTCTAGAACTAAGGGCTCTTCCTCTAACTTGTCCGCCCATGCAATATTGTTTCGCTCTTCGCCGTCACAGCATATGCAGAGCACGAGAACGTTACTATCACCTTCTGTTGCTCAGCACTCGTCGTCGTCGTTTGCGTTCCTTCCGTCCGTTGTGTGTGTGTTCTGTTGTTTCCTTGCGCTGTAGTGCGCCCTAACTATTTCTTGAGTGAGCCTGAGTTAGCTGAGCTTTTTTTTTTTGCTCACCTATCAGAGAACTTATCTATAGGCTTCATTCAGCGTTACTATCAGTCTTATGTTGCCTGACGTATATATTCTTGCTACTCACAGTTGCTTCAACGCACTAGCGTTCATACGCCACATTAATTATTACTCTCAGAGGCGTATGTAGGGGAAAGAATTGAGCTGCCTTACGTTCCCCCAAAAGCTCTCGAGCCCGGGAGAAGTCAGCTTTTTTACCATAATACCATAACCAAATGCCATAAAAAGTAAGGCAAGTTCATATATCACTGACATTCTGGAATTGCAGTACGGGCGCTGCTGATTCCTCGCAAGAACGTAATGAATGTCGTGCTGTTTCGAAAAAGCAATGAACACCAACGCTCGGCGCATTCGAGGTAAAGTAATTGTTCCTTCATGTCGTGTGCGGAAATTATTATTTACAGTAATGCGTATCTTGCAACTGTATTAAATGAACACCAAGAATAATATACACGCAAATTTTTATATTTCTGGTGATATCGAATTTTTTAGGCTTGCTTACACATAAAAAAAATAAACACTAGCGAAATTGGCCGGGTGAGAACTCGCGCTTTGGGTGCTTTCGTCTGCAAAAAATACCTTCAGAAAGCACGATTACACGGGGAAACCAGTTGTTGATTGTGTACCATGTATTTGCGTGTGTTCCAGGAACTTCACGAAGATCCGGGCTACGGTGGAAAAGGAATACGGAAATGTAAGTAGAACTCAATCTCTTTCGACCACTTCCAGTGACCACCACTGGATTTGACCACTGCTGTTGACACTTCTTTTCTATCTCCCTTTTAGCCTTCGTGCACCACAGAAAAGTTGGTGTGCCTCTGAACAAAAACGATGAATCGATTTATGTGAAGTTGCGTTTCGAGGACTCAACTTTCATAGCTGTTTTCTAACCGAAGAGAAAACGCAGGTCAAAGTCCAGCTTCTTAATTTCGTGCCGATATTGCTGCCCGTGTATATCAGCGTGATGTACCATATTTCACAGTTTTTCTCGCAATGATAACAATTAGTAGGACTTAACGTCCAAGAGCTTCGATATGATTATCAGAGACACGATACTGTCCGTATATAGGCTCCGGAAATCTCAACCACCTGGGTTTAAGAAAAACTTGACAGTGGGCCAGTCGGTTAAACATGATTACCATTTCTTGCGCAAACTTTACAAAAATGAACTGAAGATAAACGAAAAATGTACTGAACACACAAAGCGCCCCATATCTAATAGTATTATTTAGGACTGTACGTCGCAAACCTAGATATGTTTACCAGAGATGTTACTGTGGAGGGCTCCAGAAAGTGTGGCGCTGGGTGTTCTGTAACGTGCATTGACAACGCACGCACCTAAACCTATATCAGTACACGGACATCAAACCTTTTCGCCTCCATTTGATCCTGCGACCTGCGGGTGGAACACCCTAACCACTAGATCACCGTGGCAGGTTCTGCCGTACTTTATCCACGTTGGTTCAACGAAAGCACCGGTCGCGTAAAGTCTCTGGTTACCTTATTAGGCAACGCACTTCATATTTATAATTTAAAAAATTCTACCGGCTGTCAAAATCTGTGGTGCAGGCGCTTCAAGCTGGCCTGGTAATATGTGTGCGTGTATTATTTTTTTTTTAGTTTTCAGGGCCTTACCTCGCAGACGAAGCGTCTTCTTGGGGCAAGAGCTGTGCTTTTGGTGTTTTGAAAAGGCATAATATCGATTCGACAAAAATCTCTTATTTTATTTAGTGTCCCTTCAGTCTCTTTGCTTATTCAGTTTATGCATGCATACACAGTAAAAAATTTTACACCCAAAAGGGTGTAAAAAGGGTGCTTTTACGAGAAAGCACCCTTTGCAACACCCTATAACACCCATAAATGGTCGATTGAAAAAAAAGCACCCATTTGTTTGGGTGCTTGCCTCGATAGCACCCTAAAATAGGCTCTAAGGGTGCTTTTGGGCCTGAGAAGGGTGTAGGTGACGATTCATCAGATGGAATATGCAGCATAAAAAGAACACATAATTATATTATTTGGTATTTTACGTCTCAAAAACCTCGATATGATTATGAGGGTCGTCGTAGTGGAAAGCTCTAGAGATTTTGACCATTTGGTGTTCTTTAATGGGCGCTGATATCGCGCAGTGCACAGGCTTCTACCTTTTCGCCTCCATCTGAATTCTACTGCCACGGCCGGAATCGAACCCGCGACCTTCAAATTGGCGGCCGAGCAGCGTAGCTACTACACGAATATGTGGACCTTGCGTTAAATGACGGCCTAGACTTAGAATGTGTGAAGGTGCTCTCCGAATACAGCAGAATGCCAGCAGAAGCAAATCGCGTTTCATCTATAATGGCAATTAACTGCAATCCACGTTACGAAAGCTCACCTTAGCGTTGGTTATAAGCTACATGTTTGCTGTGGATTATACACAGGAACATAATGTTCGCCCGAGTATGGGTGTGTGTGCGTGAGCCTGCGCATGTGTTCGCGTGTAAGCGCGATTGTGTGTACACCCGTGCATGTGTGCGTGCGCGTGTATGTGCGAGTCCGTGCTTGTGTTAAGCGTGCCTGTGCACATGTGTACGCCCATGCATGCGTGCGTTTACGGTCGCGTGTGTGTGTTGCCGTATGTGTGTGTACGTGTATGTGTGTGCGCCTGTGAATAAGTATGCGTGTGCATCAGCCCGTGCGCCCTCAAATTTCGTGTGTGTGTGCGGGGGGGGGGGGGCACTGCTTCTTAGTGTTTAAGGTCCCACACCTGTTCAGACTGGGAGTCTATATGGGAGGTGGCTTAAGAAATCGCGGTGGTCAAGGCACTGTACACTAACTATTCAGTACATGGAAAACAGCTGCACATTTTCGTGCCTCATCATTGCTTACGAACTTGCTGTGGTAACTGATTAGCTCCGTTGAGGCGCTTCTACGCTCGAAAACGTGGGTTATGACCAATTCACACGGAAAGCTGTCACTGCACTTATGCACAACCATCGTTTATATTAACAACGTTTAACAAGAACGTGCACTGCCTTTGCTACAGGTGCTTAGCTAGCTCATTGGGCAACCATATGGAATTATGTGCTGATCATGTGGTCAGCAAAAAGTTTGTTATAACGACCTCGGCACGTTTCGTGGTGCATGACAAGCCTTCTAAACATCCGCTACAGTGGATTAATTTGTTCCAGCTTCGACTAGCATTCAGTGTTTGCGGCACCATACGCGGAATCGCCGGACACAGACAATGCAAAAAGAAATTTCTCTGGAATAAGGTGTAGCGATGCTCTCCCGCTAATGCCACCGAGGACGAAATAATTATTGTTTCTGGTCATTCCATGGTGCACTTTGTTTTGCGCAAGTTTTGCTTCACTATTTTTCGCCCACTGCAATCGCATTTCGTCAAAATACTCAAAGAACCCGAGGCTGGTAAATAACCTGCGTCGCTGTGCGACTGGCTGGAAGGAGAGTGGCCGTTTACAAGGAGTCATTCCGCGTTGAACGGCCGTCCGCCGTATGCGCCATAGCGTTTGCCTTTCGGCGCCGTCTTGGCGGGTTTGCCGCTCCTTCCCCCCTCCCCCGGCTCAACCCGGCCAGCGTCAACGGCGGCGTAGATAAGCGAAGAGTTGCGTCACCGAACACCTGCGTCGACAGCTGCGGCGCCGCCACGCCTCCGCCAGTGCCTCCTCCTTCTCTCTCTCAGTGTTGCCCTTTCTGTCTCATCAGTCTTTCAAATGCGTTGCGTTGGTCGGGGGTCTTGGTCGCTGTGTGTGTTCTAGCGAACAGGCGCATATTCAAAGGTGGTCACGCATGACACCGTGTTCGAAGTGACGCTCGGATTAAGGAATATTCATGGAGTGACGGACACGGACAACGTGGGCCTGTTCGAAGTGACGCTCGGATTAAGGAATATTCATGGAGTGGCGGACACGGACAACCTGGGCCTGTTAACGGTGAGTGTACTGTTTTCGTAGGTAGTAATCATACAGCGCTAGCTGGGCGCCTGCTGCAGCTCTGCCGAAGTAGGCTGCCAGCCATTTACAACAGCATGCGTTCGCGGGCCTGTTGCAGATGCCCGATTAAACGTGGGACTTAACGAGTTCACACTGCTATGCGCGATGTTGTGTAAGTGCCTGCATCACTCATACAGTGAGTGATGTGATCACTTAACAAGGGCGGGATTAGTTGCTGATCGCACATTGTCTCTACACTGCACAAAGTGATTGATATTGTTTTAAGATGTGCTTTGAGCTACATCGTAATAACATTTCTATTAATACTCAAATGTGCAACGTGCTTCTGTAGGTGTAAACGCAAAAAAAGAAAGAAAAAGCAAAAATTATGTACAGAGGCGCACTGTACGAAATGGCTTTTTTTTTTTTTTTGCTTAAAGACGGTATAGTTGGAGGTGCTGATATGCCGCGATGCTCCCAGCACGTGCGCCTCGGTCTTTTAAGCTATTTAGGACAAGTGCCACCAGCAACAGGGAAAGATCTAGCAGACTTCGCGTTGTTGTGGCCATCGCCGTGCGTTGTTTTTCCTCGTTTCTGTTTGCTGTTTTCGTGCTTCGCTTTCATCTGCGATAATGTTCGGCGTTATAACAGAATCGAGAGAGTATACGTGACTGTTGGAGCTATGTGCGGTTGCTCTAGCATAAGTCAGGGCTGCTGCAACGTAGTCGGCGTCCGCGCGCGTTGGTGTCGTTCGAGCGCTCTTACTTGCGTGATTGTGTTTAACTGAGTATTTAGGCACGGGTTACGTTTGTAAATCTCGTAGTCAATAATCGCTAATAGCGTGCCCCTGATTGCCATCAGAGGATGGGCTTGGTTGTCGAAATATGCCAGACGCTTTTTCTGAAAGAAAGCTTTGAATTTTTTTTAAAAGAAGTACTTTCATACGTGCAAGGCGGTGCCTATTGCACGCCCGCAACTCTTTAAAAACTGGACGAGCTCTCACATCTTTTATCAAATTACAATGAATTATATAAGATGATTTAATTATAGATGACGAATTTCTGTGCTAGATTAGGTGCACAAAACACATGTTCGCAGCCCTACGTCTAGAAAGCAGGCAAATAGGAAGCACAGCGTCAAATTTGGATTAGATTCCATTGACGGAGCGTCTTGTGAGAGTAGAAAGAACGAGAAAATTGTTCATTTTTGATGCCCTTATAGAGGCAGTCAGAATCGCACTGATTGGTGACTTGTAACAATTCCTCAGATTGTTAGAGGCGTGATTTAAGTAAGTAAGTCTTTTACTTTTTTTTTTGTAGACCTCTTCGCTAGTGCCACGCCCAAGATCATTTGTTCTCATGTAAAAGAGAAAGCAGAGATGTCTTCACTGTTTGTACATGAAGAGGTAAGTTTCTTGTGCGTTTTGATTAATGCTACATGTTCTAAACGTTGTACTTTAGGAATTGTTTTTCACACTGGCTCACTACTCTAGAAGGAATTTGATTCTTAAGTGAGTTCAGGCTTTCGTAAGTGCCATTTTTGAGCTGTAGTCTTACACTTCACCTCATTTCGGGAATTCGCTGTATGCTTGAAAACTCTTATCTTTATCATACGAAATTATTGGAATGTATGGGTTGTATGCTTCGAGTTCAGTGTAATGTCAATTACACGCCATTTCGAAGGATACACACTACACATTCTTTATATATGGTGCTGCCAGAACAGCACGAAAATTTTTTTATGAGAAGTCATATTTGCTCTTATT